ACTGATGCGCAGATGCAGCTGTGGCGAGTGCGTTGTGCATTTAGGACTACGAAAGTATTGCACATGCCTATACGTGAGAATTGTGAACAGTCAACCAATAAAACAGTAAAAGGCACTAGATTTCATTGGAGTCCAAATTTCATGTGACACTGGAAAGTGTTTAAGACCAGCCAGCCATGTTTTTATCATCCGTTTACGACTGGCAATGTGACAGACTCTCGACCAATGGGAGTGGGCAAACTGTCTTAGGTACCGGTATATATGAATAATTGTTGACATCTTTTGTGGTCACTGTATCTACAAGATGACAATTGTGGGACTGGCCTTCTAACCAATAGTTTTGCTTAATAGCGGCAGGACCTTTGAAATTCTGCTAATGCCTCCTGTTTGTGGTTTATCTTCATCACGTGTCTTATTTTATTTTACTATACCTCATACATATTCATGACCGAAAGCCGAATTCTCACTGGTCCATTCACCATCACGTGCCAGATGCTATTTTTGCTGTTTACCAAGCGCACGTGGGAGCATTCATGCACAGGCTACGAATGCGTAATAGACAGTATACTACGCATGCACTTTACAAAGCACGGTGATCATGAAACTGTTCGGCAACTGAATATGTATGAGGTATAGTAAAACAAATATAACATGGTTTATTTCTTGTGGACAGTCGATATTAGCTCCCCTCGGTATTGGAAGTTGACAAACTACCCGGTAGTTCCGGAGGCGAAGTTTGTCAACTTCCAATACCTCAGGGAGCGAATATCAACTGTCCACTCTCCAACCATGTTATATTTGTAGAGTGATGACAAACTAGTCTGCCCAAAAAAGTACCTGGTAATCATGGTAATAGCAAAAGCTGCAGTACAACCGTTGGTAATCTGTCACGACCACCATCTCCCTGGGGCCCAGAAAAGGACTAGACTAGAAAACTGCATGTTATGTACCATATGTTTAGATAATTAAAATCATGACATGATAGTTTTCACAGAAATGCCAAAGTTGTGCACATGTATATGTTTAGCAGCAAAGAGGTGTTTAGAGGCATTTTTTGGGGTGTTTTTCTGCATGATTTTTCTAATTTTTATTTTTGGCCCAAGAGGGGATCTTTTTAAACCTTTTGGGGGAAAAAGACTCGATACTGATTACGAAATCTTTGGATTTAAGGAGAGAGTCGTCTTCTAAAAACTGCCCTTTAAAGTGAGAGTGAATGTAAAATGAATGTAATGACATTGAAGACACTGACTGACTTGTAAACCCTTATAAGGTGCTACATAATGGGTCTCATATTTCTCATAAACCTTTCTTTAATAATAGACATATCTCCAGCGCCTTGAGTACCTAATTGTTGGTAGATACATGTACGTGCGCTATATAAGACTCCGATATTATTGATATTATGATATTATTAACCCCCTCAGCTCAGACATGAATGTAATGACATTGAAGACACTGACTGAAATGAAATCATGTTCCATTACCCAAGGGCCTACTGCAGTAATCCTTTTATGAAAGTGAAAAAAATTAAAACTTGAGTGGAAAACAACACCTTTCAAGCGATTGAGTGGGGATGTTCTCCACTTCAAGATGAATGTATTGATGTTGAAGACGTTGTCTGCAATGTAATCATCTTCCGTCACAACGAGTACCGGGATTGCACGAATCAATCATTTAATGAAAAATATTAAGCAGCCTCACAAAACTCAATGATTGATGACAAGGTCATATTAAGGAGTGGCAATCCCATTGGATCGATAAACCTGTGTCTCTCTCCTGATTGGTCCACTTTCTGTTCAACTCCATTTTAGTGATCCCCAGAAGTGCACGGTGATAGGATGTGTGCTTGGTCCCTTTCTTTCCTGGCTTGATCACTGAATCTAAGACTCTCCCCAGAGCGATTTGTTAGGAATAATTACAGCTTTGTTTCACATTTCATGGCTGCCCTTTATGGATGGAACTCCTGGTAGGTACATTTAACTGCACACCGTACATATAGGCAACCCCCCCCCCCCCCCCCCCCACCTCCTTGTGACGCCCATGCTCATATACCGGTACATTGCCCATAGACAGATGAAATAACCACGCAAAACGGTGATTCTACAATGTACACGCTCCTTTTCCGAGCCGACATACGCAACAACATGACTGCAACATGGAATAATGTAGGCCATCTGTGTCCCATATGGAACACAGATGCATTACATTTTTCATGTTCTACAAGCAGTCTAGGGATAACATAAACTTATCATCAACTTTGCTTGGAGATACGTGCACATGCAATAGCATGATAAAGCATAGTGTGACATATGGCCCCTGGTACATGTACATGGAATAATTTCACACTGTTGTTGACATTGATGACTCTTGATGTCTCTTTGATAACTTAAACTTAGTTTTTGGAGGATGTGATGCCTCTTTCTTAGAAAATTTCTCAACAGTCATCCAATGTGATGACTGTAATGCCAGTTTTTGATGACCATTGATGCCCCATGATGACCGTTTGATGCCTTATGATGACATTTTGATACCTTATGATGACCTTTTGATGCCTTTTGATGACCTTTTGTTGCCTGTTGATGACCTTTTGTTGCCTGTTGATGACCTTTTGTTGCCTGTTGATGACCTTTTGTTGCCTACTGATGACCAAATGATGACCAAATCTACTGATGATGACCAAATGATGACTAATTTTTCTAGTAGGGATGGATTGACCAATCAGGAGTGGGGATTCAAACTTTACTTGAAGATAAGTGCATTACAGTGTATGTAAATGTAATCAAACTAAAGCAGTCATTTATATTGGTGATTTGAATTGGACAGTACACATCAAGGTTGCAGAAAATTACCAGCAAAAGATAAGGTGGCTTCTGGCTTGCTGAGATCAATACCGGTAGAACAGGGCAAAACATTCCCCTGAAGACTAACACCTAAACATTCAACAGTCACATATGTCTAAATTGATGGTAACATTTCATTACACTTGAAGTATGCATACGTACATCATTCTTTCTGCCACTAAATCATTTAATTATTTTCAATGCTATAACCAAGAGGGGTTTTCACAGGACAAATTAATAGTTAAGAGGAGGTCAATATACACATGTAGGTCTCTGTCATCTATTATTGTGGAGTGCCATGGCCTCGTGCATGTCATGGTCTGGGGCATTGAATTCGTGGTCTGCGTGTAATTCTGCAGGTTGTGGGTTCAATTCCGGCCTAGGGTTGTAGTGCGTGTGCCCTTGGGCAAGGCACTTTGTCACTCATTGCTTCTCCCCACCCAGGAGTAAATGGGTACTTGTAAAGGGCAGATGGAGATGATTATTGTGGTTGATTTTTTAGCTGCTTTGTGCTGAAATGGCAGCATTGAGCGGTAAATTCCCCAGGGAGCTGAGATGGTATTTGGAATGTTTAATTGGCCCAATATGATCAGGGGTAATATGTAAAGCGCTTTGATCTTTAGAGTGCTATATAAGAAGCTGTTATTTTTATACGACTAAATGTACCATTAAGGAGACATGTTGTCGTAATTTCTTTGAACGGAGGAAGACATTAGACGTTACGGAGACATTTTCACGTCTCCCTAACGTCACAGCCCCCCTTTGGAGGCAACATTTTACCGTTGCAATTAGGTTATATTTGTTGCTCGTGGCCTAATTACTAAATGTTTCCCAAATTTCCAATCCAGATATTATTATTATTATTATCAAGTCATCATGTACATGTAGATCATCAAGTTCAGCTGTTTGAAAAGTTAATATCCAATGAAAACAAAACTTATTGAACACTTTGTTGTTTGCCTACACTGCGAATGCATGCACTTCATTGAACAGAACAACACCTGGCAAACTGAGGAATTACATGTAAACACGTTTTGACGCAAACAAAACCCCAACATCTGCTCAACAAATTGTAGGAACATAATTGGTCAATTCTCAACCGACCAAGGGATTGGAAATTGGTTCCTTTTCTGCTGTATCAATCATTAAAAAGACAAATCGTTAGATGTCAGCATGTGTATGTATGCGTGTATTATTGGAGCAAAGTGAATCAGCATTGTAAAGCATTGTACAGTACATGTATGTCCCCAAAAAAAGTGTCTGTCTGACTCTTTTTGAAATAACTACAAAACCATGAAGTCAATTTTGAAAATGTTTGAATGGGCAGACTATACTCCTTTTCCTTGGCATATAAACCCCTACGAGTTCCATTTAATTTCAGTCATGCATCACTACACAATTGTCAATTGATCACAACAACATTTTTGGGCACTGTGGCCAAGTTCCTCGCCTTGATCAGTTTCAGTGCTGTGTTATGTAAGCTGTGTAAAATACTGCATGTTGTGAAAAAAGGCTGATGTGGATTGGAATCACTGCGCCTGATGAGCATTAAACTGATAGTTTGCCATGAAGACTGATAGCCAGGCAAATGATTCCAATTCCAACTGCAAACCTTTTCAAAAGATGAAAGCTTTTACGCAGCTTACATAACACAGCACTGAAAGTGATTAAGACAAGGAACTTGGTCACAGGGTCCAAAATGTTGTTGTGATCATTTGGTAATTGAGTAGTGACTGAAATTAAAATGAATCTCATATAGGGGTTTAGGCCAAGGATAAGGAGTAGGCTACAAAAAGATGCACAATCAAACATTTTCAAAATTGACTTCATGGTTTTGCAGTTATTTAAAAAAAAAAAAAGTGAAACGAACACTTTTATTGGTACATGTACATACTGTATTTGAACTCCCAGGCTATATTATTAATTTTGTGAGTGTTTTTTTTTTTGTGTCGGACAGGGACAATTTGGACTTGGATTCCGGCAACAGTCATTTTGGAGTCTTAACATTGGACAAAATGAGGACACAAGGGCTGAGGGTTGAGGACTAACATCAGCTGAGCTTGAAACACTTCTTGTACACGTACATGTACTTTCCAAAGTCTTGGACGCAGAGAAATTGTAGGACTTGCAGGGAACCGCTGATGAAAGTGTGAAACAACAATGGATGTGCTAGGCATAATCAGCATACCCATCGGCATTGTGGGAGTCATTGGCAACAGCATCGTCTGCGTCGTGATTTGGCACGATGCCAACCTACGCACCTTGACCAACGCCTTCATCGTCAACCAGGCTGTGGCAGACCTCCTGTGTTCCCTGGTGCTGCCGTTGCAATTCAACATCCCCTCCCCGGACCCGTTACCCGAGGGGAGTTACGGGGAGTTCATCTGTAAAGTCTGGACGTTTGAGTACATCCTGTGGCTGTTCCTCAACACCTCCACGCTGGGCCTGGCCGCGCTGACGCTAGAGCGCTACCTGGCCATCGTGTTCCCATTCCGGTATATTGCCATCACAGGGACTAAGTGCTTGCCGGTGACCCTCATCGCAGTCACCTGGCTGCTCAGCGTGGCCTCGGCGACTCTGACGCTGTCCACCGTGGAGTTCTCCGCCGCCCACAACCACTGCGACGTCAGCCCGGATTTGGAGCTGCGGAACCCGCCGCTGCACGCCCTTCTGATCGTGGACAGCGTGGTCCTCTTCTTCCTACCAGCCATCCTGATGCTCTTCGCTTACGTGCACATCATGCTGGTGCTACGGCGCAAGGCGCGCAGCATCCAACCAATGCCGTCCATCACCCACCAGCACAGCAGCAGCAACGACCCCGAAGTCCAACCCCAGGAGATGCAGAACGCATCCATGCTACGCGCAAGTAAAAATGTCATCAAGACTCTCCTGCTGGTCTTCGGCGTCTACATCATATGCTGGCTGCCCAATCTTATCGCCTTCGTGGTTCAGTTCTCGGACCAAGTCTACCAGCTCACCATCGTCCTAGGCGCTGCCAACTCCTGTGCAAATCCCATCATCTACGCGTTGAAATACAAATCTTTCCAGGCGGGCTTGAAGAAGTTGTTCAGGAGGAGTCACTGAAGACATACAACCCGTTTGCTTGTAGCCTGCAACAGCCTCTTTCACAGAACGACTTTATAAATTTCAATGTAAATACTACCTCACTAGTAACCCTAACCTTGCCAATGCCATCAAAATCCATCCAACCCCGTTTTGGAGGATTTTGGAAGATAAGCCATGTGTACCAAGCCAATCAAAATCTGCCAGCACTTGTGGTGGATTTCAACGGATTTGCTCCTGAAGCATTATGTGAAGCAGAGTGAGTGATGGATTTCGACAGACATGGTCTTCTGCTTAGTAAAACTACCGTAAGTAGGAAGTTAGGATTAAACTGAATTAGACGTAAGCCATTTCAAAACAACTGATCAAGGTTCAAATTTTAACAGTGAGTGAAAAAAAAATGGTTTGCATTTTCAATCTCCCTGTTACAATTCTTTGGGGTATGGTATGGCATGTGTGTCTTAGCGCGTCTTAGTAAATATACAGTCGACTCTCGTTAGTACAAACTCTGTTAATACAAAATTCTGGTTATAACAAACATAAGGCCTTGGTCCCGACTGTGCATTTATGTACACAATGAATGGGACTGATGTTCCTCTTTATACAAAATTCTGATATAACAAACAATTTGGCTAGGTCCGAACAAGTTTGTATTAACGAGACTCGACTGTACATGTATTTGAAGTTCTTCATGTATCCTCAGTGTACATTAAGTATGTTTTGAAGGCCAAGCGCAATGAACTGTACAGCCAAAGTTTGGTTAAAACACAGTGTACAAAAAAATTGACGTGACAATAATGTACTTTGAATTATCTTCACCTCACTGAGTGTCAATAGAAAGTAAACAAAAATCTTTAAAAAACTAGAAATGAGATATTCTGCAAAAAGGTTATACTGCTGTTATACTAGTAGTTTGTAAGTAATACTGATGTCTTCACAAGCATAACATATTTAATTGCACAGTCTGCCTCCCCAACCCAACAAAAAAATGCACTTTTAGGGTTAAAAACATTTAAAGCCTGTCATAACAAAGGCCAAACAAAAAAATATTCGGTCTCTGGTCAGACCAAAGTTCCGGAATTGACGCGGCGATGCGGCTTTTTTTTTTTTTTTTGGCTTTTTTTTTTTTTTCTTCAAGCTTGGATTGTACAGACAAGGTGGGGTACTATTTTGCTTTTTTTGTGTCCTCATGTACATTGGTGTCCTCCATTTGCCTTGGTGCTTTCGATCATTTGCCTTGGTGCAATTTCCCATTCTTTGGTGCTCTTTGGTAAAAAAAATTGAGGAGGTGCGGAAATAGAGGGCGCTGTTGGAGCTACCGCGGAACATTTTGGAAAAAAAAAGAAGATCGACGCGCATGATTAAAATCGACGCGCGCGCTGACCAGAGACCGACTTATTTATTTTTTTGGCCTGAAAGACATTTTAAAGCCGGTCACAACAAAGTGTAATGACAAAGTGCTCAGAACTAAAATCACGTTGATATCAATGCACTTTTGATATGGTGCCACTCTACACTTAACAAATTTGTACGCAACATGCGCTCTGTTACTTTGACACGGCTTCGGCACCAATACAAATACATAACTGGTGCTGACAAAATGGGTCAGAAAAGCCCAAGAGTTACGTTTGGAGAGACAGGACCTAAAACAAATCTTGCAGAATGAAAGAAAGCAATGGAACTGTCAACGATTTCACCCACAAACCGCTGGCTTATAAAACAGATTCGTTGGGGCAAGCACGTAGGAGTGAGTTCAACTGTTCATCAATCACGGTAGTTAATCTTTAGCATAGTGGGTGAGATGATTAGGCCGCCCATACGGCCGGGTAGTACATGGTAGAACAAGGAGCTGATGAATTTCTGCCAGTGTAAAAAAGACGTCGAGGCACATTCATCAAAGCAAACATGTCCAGGGACAGGGTTTTTTAACTAAAAAAGGATCTTTTAAATCTTTTAATACTAAACAGAGCACTCTTCCTTGAGTTTAGCAGAAAAAAAACTAGTGGAGCACTTTGCACATTGCACATGTTTTTACGTAATTACATTAATGATGGTTAGTGCATATTGCCTTATTCGTGTATGTAGAGTCTTGAAATTTGACTCTTTAAAGGGAATATACAACATTTGCAAACATCGAAAAACAAAACTACCAGATTTTTACGAAATACCTTACTAGGATGTTGGTAAATGACAGTCTACAGCATCCTGTAATATTATGGCTCCTGGTATGAAGTCATTTTCAAGAAAAGTGTTATTTTTGTATACATTTCCAACGGTGGTCGGCCGACCACCGTTGGAAAAACCTAACTATTTTTCAACTACTGCTCCAAATTTACCATTGTTTTTCAGTCCAAATTTTGTTTGCTATTGGTTACATGTTCATGAACAGGTGCAGGCCAGCTAGACTGGTTCCCTTACCTTACAATTTTCTGGCATCTATAAATTGATCCATTTCATCTTTAGTGGAGTCAGGGAACCAGACTACTTGAACATTTTTGGTTTTTCTTGGTTTTTCCAGCATTTTCGAACACAAAACTTCAAACATGTCAGTGTAACAATATTTGATCTATTATACTGACCCCTCAAATAGTTCATTTTTGAAAATTACAGCAAAAGCCAATGATGTACATTCCCTTTAAATATGTTTTTCATTTTTGCAAAGTTTGTTTGTGTCCTGTTCTGTCCATAGTTTTTTTTTTCTTTCTTTCTTTTTTTTAATATAAAAAATAGTGTCTAATAATTTCTAATTGATTGTACTGGTAATATGGCTGTGTCGTGTTTCATTTTTGGGGGGGTATTTTAATCTATGTTGTGCAATATATCCTTTTCTGTCCTCTCTAATTTAATGTTTTATATCCAATGCATAGATATTTTTATCTAATATTAATGTTTTACGTGTCCTTTGCCAGCATGAGGGCTGGCAAGTCTAAGGACTACAGTGATTTTCTTCGCTTTTGTCAGCCCTTGCCCTTGCAGGCTCAGGTTTAATTTGTCCTGTTATTTTGTCTTTCTTGTATTGTCTGTGTTCCTTCCAAATTGTTTTTTCTTGTATTTTTAGTGTTCTGTTTTTTTTCTCTATTGTTATATATTTTGTGTTGTTTTTATCAATTGGCAAAATGAATAAATGAATTGCACAAAGGGGGAATAAAATAGTAAAAGGGTCTGCGCAATGTACTTTTTGTTAACGCAATTTTTGAAAAAAAAACTTTGTGTCCAATTTAACTTCACTTTAAATTTTCAAGGGTATTTTGGGTGCTTTTTGGTTTTCATGCTAATGTAAATTTACTTAATATTCATGAGCAAAAACGGGATGTCTTTTCAGGCATTAACCTCAATGTTACAGCTATTTCAGCACAAAAAGTTGCCAGAATTTTGGATATTTTGCTGTCATATTTGCTTTTCACTGGTGATTTGTTGCTGTGTCAATACATCACAGTTAGCCAGTGAGCAAACTTTTCTTGCAAATTATGTTATCATTGAACACATTTTTGGGTTCACAATTTGAATACAAAATCCCCTAAACGGAACAGTGTCTTCCTAAAATGCAGGCATGTACCTGGGAATTTTAGAAAAAAACGCAGAAATTCCAAACCACACAAGACTTTGTACAGTATTTTTCAATTTGTAATGGCATTCATGAGAATTTAAAAAAATGAGGCAATCAGCGGACAAACTTTTGAACAAAATTAACCAAAACGGGATGTCAAATAGTTTTCATGCATTTAAGTGGAGTAGAAAGTTGCAAAAAATATGTTCCTCAGAAAAGTTCACATCATGGGACCTATAAAAACAGCTCTGATTTTGTACAGTGGGGAGTGTGGCCTAGCGGTTATTGTTCGTGACTCATGATCAGAGGGTCAGGGGTTCGAATCCAGCTGCTGGCAATATGTTGTATCCTTGGGCAAGCCACTTCACCCCGCTTGCCTCTCTCCACCCAGGAGTATAAATGGGTACCGGCTTTAGCTGGGGAGTAGAGCTGCGATGGATTAGCATCCCATCTGGGGGAGGGGGGAGTAGATATAGTCCCAGTCATTTCGTGCTACTGCAGTGGCGCTCCCAGGATTTGGCTTTGGGAGGGGGGCTCACAAGTTATTTTTTATTTTTTATATTTTAGAAGTTAATTTTTAAAAAAAAATGCCCGAAATGTTTGGCCGCAGACAAAAAAAAGGTGGGGTTTTTTTTTTTGGGGGGGGGGGCACTAATTTGACGTTGGTCGCCACTTACACCCCTATTACACCCCCTAAAAAAGGCCCCGAGGCCCCTCTCCTCTTCCCCTTGGGTGCTCCACTGTGCTACTGGAACTGGAGATAAACGCCGGCCTGATGGTCCACATTGGCTAGTGATGGACTTTACTTTTTTTAAACTGTTTTTTTTTTGCACAGAGGAATTTCTAGTTGTGCTGTCAACTTGAAGCCTTCGATATCATTACAACTTCTCCTATGGAAGACCCACTGTATTAAATTAGACAAACTTGAAAGTTTGTCCTAGCGTTGTTGGATGCATCATTTTCAGTGTATAAAAAAGAAACCCTCTATATTCAATAACATCTGTCTAGAAAGTGACACATACATGTACAAAAAATCTCAGAACAAAATCTGATTACAACATCTCTCAAAATTTGTTACATCACTTGTATACAGTGAAAGGGCAAAATCAAGTAATGAATTTGAGAATTTTTTTTTAATGAAATTTTTTTGTGGCGCAAAATGAGTCGTTTCTCAATTTTCTATGCATGTTGTTTGTCAATTTGCTACTCCTGAAGGGCACTGTACAGATAATTATGTCGGACATTAGAAAACTGCACCGCAAAAACAGAAATATATCAAATCTTTTTATGTAGAATTTGATATTCTACATTTTGTAAATTGCATCTGCTACACAGGTAACTTCAATCAGCGTATACCTCCACAATCTTGTATTTTTAGTGTTCTGTTTTTTTCTCTGTTGTTATATATTTTGTGTTGTTTTTATCAATTGGCAAAATAAAAATGAATAAATGAATTGCACAAAGGGGGAATAAATTAGTAAAAGGGCCTGCGAAATGTACTTTTTGTTAATGCAATTTTTGAAAGTAAACCTTTGTGTCCTATTTAACTTCACTTTAAAATTTCAAGGGTATTTTGGGTGCTTTTTGGTTTTCATGCTAATGTAAATTTACTTATTCATGAGCAAAAACGGGATGTCTTTTCAGGCATTAATCCCAATGATACAGCTAATTCAGCACAAAACGTTGCCAGAATTTTGGATATTTTGCTGTCATATTTGCTTTTCACTGGTGATTTGTTGCTGTGTCAATACATCGCAGTTAGCCAGTGAGCAAACTTTTCTTGTAAATTATGTTATCAATGAACACATTTTTGGGTTCACAATTTGAATACAAAATCCCCTTAACAGAACAGAGTTTTCCTAAAATGACATCACAGCAACAGCACCCTCTGTTATCCGGAAAAAGCATGGAAAATGTTAAATGTTGAAAGAAGCGCTCTTTTGAATAAATGCAAACAGAAAGCGATGTCAAATATTTTTCATGCATTTACATGTAAGTGGAGTAGAAAGTTGCAAAAAATATGTTCCTCAGAAAAGTTCACATCATGGGACCTATAAAAACAGCTCTGATTTTGTACAGAGGGGAGTGTGGCCTAGTGGTTAGGGTTCGTGACTCACGATCAGAGGGTCAGGGGTTCGAATCCAGCTGCTGGCAATATGTTGTGTCCTTTGGCAAGCCACTTCACCCCCGCTTGCCTCTCTCCACCCACGAGTATAAATGGGTACCGGCTTTAGCTGGGGAGTAGAGCTGCGATGGATTAGCATCCCATCTGGGGGAGGGGGGAGTAGATATAGTCCCAGTCATTTCGTGCTACTGCAGTGGCCGCTGGCGCTCCCAGGATTTGGCATTGGGAGGGGGGGGCTCACAACTTTCTTTTTTTTGTTTCAAATTTTTTAGAAGTTAATTAAAAAAAAAAAAAATGCCCGAAATGTTTGGCCGCAGACAAAAAATGTTGGTTTTTTTTTTTTTTTGGGGGGGGGACTAATTTGACGTTGGTCACCACTTACACCCCTATTACACCCCCTAACAAAGGCCCCGAGGCCCCCCCCCCCTCTTCCCCTTGGGTGTGCCACTGTGCTACTGGAACTGGAGATAAACGCCGGCCTGATGGTCCACATTGGCTAGTGACGGACTTTACTTTTTTTAAACTGTTTTTTTTTTGCACAGAGTAATTTCTAGTTGTGCTGTCAACTTGAAGCCTTCGATATCATTACAACTTCTCCTATGGAAGACCCACTGTATTAAATTAGACAAACTTGAAAGTTTGTCCTAGCGTTGTTGAATCCATCCATTTTTAGTGTGTAAAAAAGAAACTCTCTTTACTCAATAACATCCTAATAACATAGCCTGTCTAGAGAGCGACACATACAAAATTCCTCAGAACAAAATCGGATTACAAAATCTGTCCAAATTTGTTACATCACTTGTATACAGTGAAAGGACAAAATCAAGTTATGAATTTGAGAATTTTTTTTAATGCAATTTTTTTGTGGCGCAAAATGAGTCGTTTCTCGATTTTCTACGCATGTTGTTTGTCAATTTGCAACTCCTGAAGGGCACTGTACAGATAATTATGTCGGACATTAGAAAACTGCACCGCAAAAATAGAAATATTGAATCTTTTGATGCAGAATTTGATATTCTACATTTTGTAAATTGCATCTGCTACACAGGTAACTTCAATCAACGTATACCTCCACAATGCTGTTTGCCGCAAAATGGTAAATTTTCTGTTTACGGTACGCCAAAACTGAATTGATAGTTGCAATATACGGTAGCTTGACACATTATTAAAACAATTTATACAATTTCG